TTCTAAGGAAACAAGTTAAGTAGCTTAAAAAAAAAAAAAAAAAAAAACACTTTTTAGAAGATGTTATTAGTGTTGTGACCTGGCTTTGAGCCCGATAGGAGTGGGACAGTAGCAGGAGCCATCTGCTGTGGCTCTGCCAAGTTCTCCTCTGTAGACAGAGGTGGGGTAGAAAACAGGGAAGTGCTGACCCAGCTCTGTCCAGTTACGATCAAGAATTAGTCTTGATTCTAGAAGGTTCTTGATTATTTTTATAATCAAGAATAATTTGAGACTTAGGAAGAGCAAAAGTATTATTTATACCGCTGGTATTGGATCAAAAGATTACTTATAATAATAGATTCATTCCAGGAAGTAACACATGTTTTAAAGGAATCGGTCATGTAGACTTATTGTTCATGGAGAGCAGGTGTATTAACATGACGGCATTACTATGGGAGCAAGGGATTCCCTTACAAATTCAGAAATTCCCCAGGCGATGTCAAAAATCATACTTCCTGATTTGACTTAATTAGTAAATAAGTGAACGAAGGTTGAAGAAGATAGTTACTCTTTTTATCCAATTCCTTTCTATTGCCTTTCTTTCTTTTTAGCACAATCATTTAATCGAAAAGATGGTTTGCTTGAGCACATTAGAGAATCTCCACCCCCTCAGTAACCATGCCGGCCATTCTACCAGAAAAATCCATGAACGCCGGCAGCACCGAGTTGTTTTCACAAGACTTCCTTTCTAATAAACACAACACTTTCTCCTCTCAGAGGTGAGCCTCGGATGCCAAAACGCAGATGTGCCAACTGTAGGCGTGTTGCTAAGCAGAGGAGACCAGCAAGTTTGTCCAGCAAATTAGATTGTACAGTGGGGTGGCGTCTGCTCTGTGGCCTCAGACAGGAAGCGGCTGGTCTGCGCACCCATCCTCGTCCTCCAAGGCAGGTCAAGGTCGGTGGCCCTTAGCAGGCAGGTACAAGGGTCATCGTTTAGAACATGACCACATTGGAGCTTTGAGAAGAAATACAAAAGAGGCTCATTAAATGTGGAGGTCTATGTGACTATGGTCAAAGTCCTTCCCTTGGAAAAGGGCCATACTGGGATCTTGTTCTGAGCCGAGGCGATCTAGTTCCGCCCTGTCTCTCTGGCTGGCCTGAGTCATGGCCTGTCACCTTCTCATACCACTGTGTGGAGCTCTGAAGAGGACACCAGTCCCAACCAGAAAGACATCCTGAACATTTAAGACTGGGTTCACAAGGCCCGGACACCTTCTGTCTGCCTTTCCCAATTCGCATCTGGTTAGGAGCTGTGAATCAGGATTTGGAATCTGTGCTGCCCAGGGGAGACAGGCAGGAACTCGAGAAACACCCACATGTAATAAATAACACCCCACTCAGGACCCTGCCCAGCCTCTCCCCAGCTACCGCTGCCGGTTACGCCTAGATTTGAACTGAAGGAACCCAGGGAGGAATGCCAGCTCTAGACTGCCCGCACAGCACCATACGTGGGGGTCGGCTGCTGCTTCCGCACAGGATAGAGCTGCAGTCTTTTGCTTTATAACATCATTTATGGCATGAACTAGGAACGTAATGTGTTTACACACACACACAATTGTACATCGGCATCTTTACAATATTAAAGGAGTCATATACAAGTCTACAGGCATTGTACACAGGGTGGTGCGGCGGGGACGCCCCACTCACCAGTTCTCTGCGGTTTCTCCACCCGGGAAAAGCCAGCGCACGATCGAGTGTGACTCAGCCGGGGGTGGTTATCCATCTTTGGGCCTGCTGTCTGGGAGGCAGCAGGTCAGTGAGGACCCCTGGGGGCCAGTCCTCATTGGAATTTGGGGTCAAGAGCGCCAGGTATGCCTAGGTCTGGGTCTCCCAGGCAGGCTAGTGTAACACGTTTAATTCAAACTCACTGTGCATACGAGTGTGGGAAAACGAGCTGGGAGCCCAGAGGACACTGTTGATGGATGGGCCCCTTCATGGTGTGACCCATTCTTGAGGTAATGTGTGGCCCCGTGGCTGGTCCAGATGGGGAGACTTCTCCAGGAGCCCAGGTGTGAGTACTCGCAGATGTCTGGAAGCCCCTGGCACTGTAGATCGAGTGTGGAAAAACGAGCTGGGACGGTCCCCTGAGCTGGGAGCCCAGAGGACACTGTTGATGGATGGGCCCCTTCATGGTGTGACCCATTCTTGAGGTAACGTGTGGCCCTGTGGCTGGTCCAGATGGGGAGACTTCTCCAGGAGCCCAGGTGTGAGTACTCGCAGATGTCTGGAAGCCCCTGGCACTGTAGATCGGGTAACCCACCAAGTGCAGCCTGAGCCCAGGCGGCAGAGATGGTGAGGGTCTCAGGTGGTTACAGGGCCGCAGGACCCTCATGCCCATATTGCCCTCCTCTCAGCATCCCTGCCCTGAGGGCCCTGCTTCAGCTCCTGCAGCGCTGTCATCCCTGCGTCTGTCCTTGGAGCCCAGGTTCTGCAGGTGGCTAGGCCTGGGCACCCAGCAGCCCCTCCACGGGGTGGGCAGGTTGCATGTCCCACTGAGAACTGAGCACCAGATGAAGAAGCATTGGTCCTTGTCGGCCTCTCTGATTTGTGCTTCTGTTTTAAATACTGTAGAAAAATAAGCCATCTCTAACGCAAAGAGAGTCGCAGAGTCTGCCACACATGGAGAAGGATAAACAGCTCCTCCAGAGCAGCCAGGGACACCTCTGCTGACCCTGCCTGGGCAGGCCCTGGAGTCCCAAGGGACACTGCATCAGGTACCAGTGCAGAGTTCCCACCACAGCATCTTTGGGTCACATCAACGGTCCTCTGGGGGCCATGCCTCCAGCGCCCCACGTGCGGTTGCCATGACACCTGGGGCCTTGGCATTCTCCAGGCTGGCTTTGGCCCCCCTACCCTCAGTCTCGTGCCCACTGTTAAGCACACACGGGCAGCTCTCCCCAGCACTGTTTCCAAGTCCCTGGGGCATCCCCAGGGCAGGGCCTAGTCCAGGGGCTCTTGCTTTATCCGGACGGCAGTCGGGGTGGGCTGCGGCCGCCGTTCCTCTCGGCAAAGAACATACTCGCTGAACTGGGAGGAGTCCACGCCACCCCCACAGGATGCGGCCACGCTGAAACCCCGCTGGAACAGCCTCTCCAGGACCTGCCAGGGAAGACAGAGGGTTCAGTATGCCCACTACGATGGTGGATGGTGTGCCCGATGGCTCGGCCAGGAGGGCAGGTGGGCACCAACTGGACCAAGCTGCTTTCTGGTAAGATCTCACACTTGCTCACTGAGACAGGTCCCTGCAGGGCTACCAATCAGGTACCACCACAGGAGGGACAGGAGCAGCCAGACCTAGGGGCTCCCTGAGTTATCAAACAAGGGTTCACAGTCTTGATTTGAGAGGGCCGAAAGAGCCTTTGGGCCCTTTCTCTCTTCTTTAGGGTGTAATCTGTCCCCCCCTCTCCAGACACACAGTCCCAGGAGCTCCCTCCCTAAAGGAGTCCTGCCTCAATAATGGAGAGCCCTAGCCTCCGGGCAGCCACCTGCTTCCCTGAGCTGTGAGTCCCAGATGGTTTGCAGCCTGGGGGCTCCTCGGCTCAAGGGGGCTCTAAGTAGAGAGAAAGAGGGCGTCCTCCTCTCAGGGCGTGCCTGTGGGTTTGTGCCTGGGAGAGAGGGGGGGGTCTGGGCGCTATGTCTGACACCTGTGTCCTGCAACTAGCAACCGACAGCCTGCCGAACGGGTGCCTGGGGGACACTTGTCTCACAAAGCCCTCGCTCTCCTAACTGAAATGTGTCTGCCCCTGGGCCTGGTAAGAGCTACAGGAAAACAGGCCCCACTCTTGTCAATTCTCACACTCATCTGGGCAAAACCAGTGCAATAACATTCTGGGCAGCTGTCGGGTGCCCCAGATCCAGATCCAGATCCAGGGTGAGGAACAGGGCTCCCAGCCACCTGGCCTCTCGGCCTCTGTCCTGCTTCTCCTGTTGCCTGGGTTTAATTTGAATCCAAAGTCAGACTCTGCGTGTCAAATGAAGAACACTTGGTTGAAAATACTCTGGGCCATTTTTATAGAACACCCTTTCGGGGAGGAAAATAAAAAAAGTACAGATCAATTTTTTTAAGTCCAACCCCTAGGCGCCATCATTTAATTATGAGCGGGACATAAATTATGCATCGACACATTGTTGCCTTTTCTGTAAAATGGCACAGAGGGCTTCGTCATCTCGGGGACCATACCTCCCTCCACCGTGCGCTGTGGCTGGGGGAAGCTCTGGAGAGGTTGGGGGGATGCCGCCCTCACCTGCACCGAGTTGAGCCGGCAGTAGCCGTTGAGTGGGAAGCGGATGACGTGCGTGGGGTCCTGGTTCCAGCCGGCGTTGACGGAGTTGCACATGACGTCCCCGGTCTCCGGGAAGACCTCCTCGATGAGGGCCTTCTCCCCGCTGAGCGCGATGCGCTCGCCCAGGTCGGGTGTGACCCGCACCACCAGGCAGTCGCAGGCCCGGCTGCGGCGCCGCTGCTCCTGCTCCTGCTGCCAGCGCTCCAGCTCGCGCACCATGGGCTGCAGCTGGTAGTACCGCGCCTCCTCGTACAGCAGACTGAAGTCCTGCGGAAATGCGAGCACGTCGGGGGAGGCGGGCCTGCCCTGGCCAACCCCGCGGGCCTCCTCTCACCATTCTGCAGCAACTGTGACCCCAAAGGCAGTGAGGACTGGGATGGCTGTCCCCATGGTACGGATGGGGCACAGGAGGCGCAGGTGAAAGTGGATGCATGGAAGCCAGCCTTGCCCCAGGGCAGTGGGTTGGTGAACCACCCTGCGGGCCCCTGAGAGGCCCACCTGGCCCCAGGCACTGGGCATGGCTTTATCCCCTGGCCACCAGGTGCCTGAAGGAAAGTCAGGCCCCACACTAGAGGAGCCTTGGGCTTAAAATCCTACCAAGAGCAGAAGTCAGCCAGGCATAGGGCAGCCTGGTCCTTGGCCACCATGGTGGAATCCACAGCCCAGCCCAGAAGTGATGATTCACCTCCAACCTGACTTGCAAGGGTTCAATTTTCAGCTTCATCACGTACCACTCCTGAGACCCCCCCAAACCTCAGTTACTGACTTCCTTGAGCCTCAGATTCCTCTTCTATACAATGGATGTAAACGCCCCACTTAGAGAAAGGGAGTGAGGATTGAAGGATACAGATCTGCCAAGAACTTGGTCTGCCCCTGCCCACACAGAGCATGAGGAGGTGCTGGGGCCCATCCCTCAGGGGCAACCTGTTCCCAGGTGGGCTCACACACATGCCCATCACCAGCCCAGCCTGCATGGCCGAGGGTCCATGGCTCACACCATGGACTGGGGCTCCCCACACACAACCCTGGCTGGTAAGCCTGAGGGCCTCTGAGGGAAAGACAAAGAAGCCCCGGCCTCAAGCTCTCAGTCCCTTCCACCTGCTGTGTGGACCTTCAGAAACCTCTAGGGAGGCTCAACCCTAAACCTTCCCCTAGGTCTATTATTGTCAGGGACCCACCCTGCGTCTTCCCTAAGATCCCTCAGGGTTCTCCCCTGCGTCTCTGCTCCCTTGGCTCTCACTGGCTCCTGAGGTTTTAAAGACTTCTGTACGACAAGCACCCCCTTCTCTGCTCATAACCCAGAAGGACCCCAGTGGAGCCCCCATTAGCTATTCCAGGCAGGAACAGGACACAGCATTCCCCCAACCTGTTCCACCCAGGCTTCCACTCACTGACTCAGGACCCAAGTGGCAAGCCAGGAGACCCCTCAAAAGTCCCCTTGCCTCTGCCAATCCACATCATTGTCCTTGTGCAGCCTCTACCTCCATGTCACTTTAACCTGCTACCTTGCTCCATCTTCTCTGCCTCCACCCTGACCCAAAGGTTCCCTTAGGCTCCTATAGCCTTCAGCCATACTGGCTCCCTGCACCCACCTCCATGCCAGGTCTGTGTCCTTCTAAACAGCAGCCAGCACCATCTGTCCTGCTTGCCAATCTGACTGTCCTTCCCCTACTCACACCCCTTCCACTGCATCAGGGTAAAATGGCCGAAGCTGAGCCATTCAGCAAGGTCTTGATTCCAAATAGCAGCCTTCCTGCCCTTCCATGTCCAGTTCAGAAGGCCCTAGGCTCAACACCTCTCTGTTTTGGAATGTGTCAAGCCCATTGCCACTGCCACCGCCTCACTAAGGCCCTCACACCTGTCTGTCCTTTCCGCCTTCGCCACCCAGATACACGCTGTTTCTTCTAACGCCCCAGTGTTCACTGTCTTAACGCTTTCTACTTCTCTCAACACGTGCCCCATGGACTTCAAGTTCACCATCTGTCTTCCATTAGGCTGTAGCACCCTGGGCTGGGCCGGCATCTGCCTGTATATCCCTGTTTCCAGCCCATGTTCAGTAACTCAGTAACCAAGTTGGACAAAGGACAAAGGAGTCCCAAGACTACTAGTCCTCTGGATAGCTGCAGGAAAGAAGCCAGGTACAAGCTGGTACAAGCCATGGCAACCTGGGTCTGAGTGTCCTTCATCCTGGGATCCCTAGTACCTCAGAGGGGCTCAATATAGAGGCAAGACACAGGTAACCAGACCAGCTGCCTTGGGCAGGTCTGTCCTGAGACGTGGGATAACTTTTTCCTTAAAGGGTGTCTAAGGCCAGGTGGTAGCACCGTAGTAACACAACTGGATCCACACAGGAAAGGTTCTGGGTTTGTGAACCGAGCCCTCCCTGAACACGCCAAGTGGGTGTCAGTGCCTGTGATCTAGGCTGGTTGACACGGGAGGATCACGGTGTAAAGATGCTGTTGGGGTGCTTGTCTCTCTGTCTCTCTCATGGAAGATATAAATACATGTCTAAAAGCTAAGGGGCCGGGGTGTGGCACAGCAGTAAAACGCCACGCTCTGAGAGGCTGATGCACATGGGAAGATTCTGAGTCGTATGGAGAGACCTCCCTGAATATGCCAGGTATGCAGGATCTGGGGCTGGCAGAGGCTGGGGGGGTACATCATGGCATCAAGACTCTACTGAGAGGGCCGGCAGGTGGCGTCGTGGTTAAGGGCGCTAAACTCCCACATGGCTGACCACGGCTCAAGTCCTGAACCTGGTGGCTTGCTTTCTCACTTTCTCTCTCTCTCCCTCTCTTTCTCTCTCTGTCCATCTGATCAAATTGAAAAATAACAATAATAATTAATAAAGTTAAATAAAATAATTCTTTAGAAAAAATAGACTCTACTGAGGGAGCTGTCTCTGTCTCTCTTTCTTGGTCATGGAAGAAAGAAAGAAACTTTTTTTTTTTGGAGAGGTTTTTGCTATAAGGCACACGCGCTCGCCAGAAAGACAGAGACAGACAGAGAAACAGAAACTAAGAAGTCACCCCCAGGGGATATGGCCATGCTGCAATCCCTTCTCCTCCATTCTCCTTTCAGGATCTTGGGCACGCATGCACACGCGCCCGGCGTGAGTTTAAGCCACTGGGTCTGGGACTTGAACCACGGTTGACTACATGGGAGTCCAGCGACATAGCCATTATGCCAACTGCTGGTCCCAGAAATAACTAAACTTTAAAAATAAATAAATAAAGGGGCTGGCAGGTGGCGTAGTGGTTAAAGGCGCTGGACTCCCACATGACCGACCCCGGACCTTTCAGCTTGCTTTCTCATTCTCTCTCTCTCTCTCTCTCTCTTACTCTGTCTCTCTCTGGTCCAATTAAAGTAAATAAATAAAGTTAAATAAAATAATCCTTTAAATAAATAAATTAAAAAGTTAGGTGGAAGTTAGCAGGTGGCATGGAGGTTAAGGTGCTGAATCCTCTGGCTGACTGTGAGGTTTGAGTCCTGGACCCAGGGGCTTGAAAATCACACCATGGGGCAAGCAGATGGCATAGCAGTGACATAGCTAGACTCTCACATGGCCGACTGAGGTTTGAGTCCTAGACTCAGTGGCTTGAAAATCATGCTGGGTGCATGTGCATTTGTGCCCCAAATCCCAGGAGAATGGAGAAAAGGGGATTGTAGCATGACATGGCCATCTCCCCAGGGGGGTAATTTCTCATTTTTTCCCCCTCACTATTTCTGTCTCTCTCTCCTGCTGGCAAGCACATGTGCCCTAAGGCAAAAACCTCTTAGAAGAAGAAGAAAAAAGGAAAATCACACTAGGGTGCATGTGCATGCATGCTCCAAATACCAAGAGAACAGAGAAGGGATTAGAGTGTGGCCATTTTCCTGGGAGTGATTTCTCACCCCAACCCCCTTTCCAGCAAGTGCCCTCACCTGATAGCAAACATAAAAAAAAATTTTAAAAATAAAAAATTTAAAAAGTAAGGTGACTATTGACCACTGATGAGTATTGTCCAATAAAACTAAGTATAAAGGGACCAGCAGATGACATAATTAATGGTTACGCTGTTAGATTCCCACATAGTCAACCCCTGGTTGAGTCCTGGACCCCGGGGCTTAAAACACGCTGGGCACATGTATGTGTGTGTCTAAAATCCCAAGAAGAGAATGGAGGAGAAGGCAATCCCCTCAGTGGGTGACTTCTCTCTTTCTGTCTCTTTGTCTCTCTCTGGGGAGCGCATGCATCCTACAGCAAAAATCTCTCTGAAATAAATAAATAAATAAATAAATAAATAAGTGAACAGATAAATGAATGGCATCTGTTCGGACCTTCAGACTTTCACCCCTGCAAGCTGCCAACAAGCAATGGACCCATGCGTCTCTAACTCCTGGAACTCCGGCACACAGCAGTCCTTCAGCACGACAAATATTAAACTGGGGTAAGTGCTGCAGCTTAATTGTTGTTACACCCTGATAAATAAGCTAAAAATGTGAGAAAACAAAATTAGTTTAGAAAAACTGATTTAGCCCTCGGCTCCATCGTTTAACTTTTTATGGTTGCTATGACGACCACGGGTCCATTTATTAAGTCACAGCGTCCCCTGTGTAATGCCATCACACAGGCGGCACAGGGGAGGTGCCAGCTGCAGAGTTACCTTGAAGTCATCTGGGAGCAGCAGTTTCGATGTCCGCAGGAAGCTCAGGACATAGCGGAAAATCTCCCCGTCCCGGTCGATGAAATAATGTTGCTTCAAACTGTCCAGGACGATGGGTTCAGTGCCATTGAAGAGGCGGCTGATTCTGGGGGAAGACAGGCAAGGTGGGGTCTCTGAAGGAAGGGGCCAAATCCCTGCCCCCCCTCCACAGGGCCCTCCCTGTCTGAGGAGCGAGGGGCCTCACGTGGGTGACGATGGGACTGTGCTGAGCCTGACGGACACCTGCATACACCTGGGGGAGCCGGGCCACAGTCGGACAGGACGCTGGTGCAGAGCTCAGCATGCCACACACCTGTGCTTGCAGGCCACAGCCAGAAAGGAACACACTCAGCTGTACACAGCAGCCCGCCAACACACAGTGCCAGCCTGGAGAACTGCAGCAGGACACACGGAGGCCTCGCCCCCGACACACAAACCAGCTGGCAATAGACCTGCCCGGAAAGGGCACACCGACCATCTAATGCCCAGCCTGGTGAATGTACAGGGAGGGTCTAAGAGTTCATGGAAAACATGTGTTACAAAAGAAAAACATGGGGCCAGCTGGTGACACAGTGGTTAAGGCGGCTAGATCCTATGTGCTCAAATATGTGGTTCAAGTCCTGGACCCAGCAGCTTGAGGAACAGCAAAGCACATGTGTGTGCCCAAAATCCCGAAAGGAGGGACAGATGGAGAAGGGATTGTAGTGTGACCATGCCCTATAGAGAGTGATTTCTGTCTCTCTCCAGTGAGTACATGTGTCCTCTGGCAAATTAAAAAAAAAAAACAAAAACAGAGGGACCAGCAGATGGCATGGTAGCTAAGGGCACTGAACTCCCACACGGCCGACTGTGGTTTGAGTCCCAGACCTGGTGGCTTGCTTTCTCATTTCTCTCTCTCTTGGCTCTCTATCTCTGTCTCTCTCACTTGCTCTGTCCCGCTCTGGTAAAATTAAAATAAATAAGTAAAGTTAAGTAAAAGAATTCTTTAAGGGACCAGCAGTTCGTGTAATGGCTATGTTGCTGGACTCCCATGTAGTTGACGGTGGTTCAAGCCCCAGACCTGGTGGCTTAAACTCACACCAGGCATGTGTGCGTGCGTGCCCAAGATTCTGAGAGGAGAAAGGAGGAGAAAAGATTGCAGCACAGCCATCCCCCCCAACCCGGGGGTGATTTCTCCCTTTCTGTCTCTGTTTCTCTCTGTCTTTAGGGAGAGCACACGCACTCTGTAGCAAAAACCTCTCAAAAAAATTATTTAAAAAAAAAAAAAAAAAAAAACAACACA